ATTTTTATCTATTCCATCTATCTAATATTATTTATTTTATTTTTCTTATTTTTCTCTTCCATTATTTTATTTTTATCTAAAAAAATTAAAATATTTTCTCTTATTTTTCTATATTTTATTTATAATAAAAATTTTTATTTTTTATATTTATTATTTATCTTATTTATTTTTATTTTTACCCTTTTTCTTATTACACGTATAATAAATATATATGAATAAATGTTTATTTTCTACTAATCATAAAGACATTGGAATTCTTCATTTTATATTAGTTATTTGATCTGGAATAATTGGATCAGCAATAAGTATACTCATTCAATTAGAATTAGGATCTTGTAGAAATTTTTTAAATTAATAATAATCAAATTTATAATTCTTTAATACGAACCATACATTTATTATAATTTTTTTTATATAGTTATACCTTTTATAATTGGAGGATTCGGAAATTTTTTAGTTCTCCTTATACTCGGCTCTCCTGATAGCTTACCTCCAAATAAATAATATAAGATTTTGACTTTTATCACCATCTCTTACTCTTCTTATTTTAAGAAATTTTTTATATTTAGGAACAAGCATAGGATGAACCCTTTATATCTAATCCCCCCCTTACATCTAATATATTTCACAGAGAACTATCAATTGTTTTAACTATTTTTTCCCTCCATATTGCAAGCATATCTTCAGCTTTTAGGGGCAATTAATTTTATCTCTACAATTTTAAATATATACCTAAAAATTCTCTTACTAGATAAAATTCCTCTTTTAGTTTGATCAATTCTTATCACTGCAGTCTTATATATATATTACTTCTTTCCCTCCCCATTTTTGCCACCATTATTATACTTTTAACAATCCGAAATGTAAGTATCTCCTTTTTTGTACCTCCTCTTCCGGAAGAGGAAATCCTATTTTATATCAACATTTATTTTTTCGGGCATCCCGAAGTTTATATTTTAATCCTCCCAGGATTTGGATTAATTTCTCACATTATTATAAAAGAGGCAAAAAAGAAACTTTTGGATCATTAGGAATAATTTATGCTATAATTACTATTGGATTCCTAGGATTCATTGAGCCCATCATATATTTACTATCGGTCTTGATGTAGATAGGAGCTTATTTCATTTCCGCTACTATAATTATTGCAATTCCCACAGGTATTAAAATTTTTAGATAAATCTCTACTCTTCACGGTATAAAAATTAATTATAATCCTACCCTATGATAATCCATAGGATTTATTTTTCTATTTTCGATAGGAGGATTTACAGGAATTATACTTTCAAATTCTTCTATTGATATTATTCTCCACGATACTTACTACGTAGTAGCTTACTTCCATTATGTATTATCCATAAGAGCAGTATTTTCTATTTTTATAGGATTTATTCACTGAGTCTCTAATCTCCGGATTTAGATTAAATAATTTCTATCTAAATATCAATTTATCTCTATATTTATTGGAGTTAACCTGACCTTCTTCCCCCAACATTTTTTTGGACTTAGAGGAATACCACGCCGTTATTCCGATTCATTCTTATCTTGAAATATCATTTCATCTATTGGATCTTTAATCTCTATCTTAAGATTATCAATCCTATTATTTATTATTTGAGAAGCCTTATCTAAAAAACGATTTATTATTAACATATTCTTTCTTCATTAGAATGATTAAACAAATTCTCCTCCTTTAAATCATAGTTTCTCCTTCAATTTAAATTCCTTCAATTTAAAAAAATTATCTTAATTTAATTCTAATATTTATATTATATATAATAATATTAAAAAATAATAAGATTGGAAGACTGTTTATGTTAAATAACATTATTTTAAATACGAAGCGCTACTATGGTCTGAGTATAAATATTCATATAAATATATATATTCATATAAATGAATTAATTTCAGAAATGATAATTATGTGCCGATATGATTGTCGATCTTTCAACGCAATCAATCTGAAATATTAATAATCCCTCCAAATTTCCCAAATTAATCTTAAAAAACTGTAATAAACTTATTGCGAAAAAATCATTTCTAAAAATCATCGAAAGAATCATTTCTGAAATTAATACATTTATATGAATATATATATTAGTTCAACATCTCAACACTCAGACCGTAGTAGCGCTTCATATTTAAAATAATATTAAAAAACTTTTATTTAATATGGCAGACTTAAAGTGCTTTGGATTTAAATTCCAACTATAAAGATTTTTAACTATATCTTTTATTAAAAATTAATATTTAATCTATTTCTCTTCAAAATTCAAATTCCCTTATGATATTGGGTCATCTACAAAGTATCCGCGGTACTTTGTCACTAGATATATGACCATCAACACACATAGTGACAAAAAACTGCGGATACTTTTTAGATGACCCAATATAATAATCTTAAAACGTATTTAAAGTTTTACAACCGATTAGTTTGCATCTGACCACGTGCTACTCACATATTTACTATAGTTCCGTTACGAATTTCAATATAATATTTTAGAGACATATTTTTAAGACTTCAAGTATTACAAAAATGCAAATAAGAAAAAAATCGATTTTTTGAATCCACAGTGGTGTTCCCCCTTAAGAAATTGACCAATTACAGTTGAATGCGAGGAGAATAATGTCACGTCCGCAATTCATCTTTCTTGTCCAATAATTATTTTTGAACAGACTTGCTAACAATAGTACACGCCCGAGTAGTACACGCGGGCATCTCTTGGAATGTACCTTCTCTCCACACTATATTCTCTTCGCTGTGTTCAGATTCTTCACCGGGTGGGTGATCGCTGGGTAAAGACTTAAACACAATAGGCACAGGCAACAGGGAATAATGAGCCGTTCAATCAGAGCTCTGGTGTGTAAATTCGATATTACATCTCAGAGCTCTGATTAGATGACTCGTTATTTCCTGTTGCCTGTGTCTATTGCCTGTGCTTATTGTGTTTAAGCCTTAACTGAGTGAGTGGGCGGAGCTTAGCAAAAAATATCGGAGTGATTTGGAAATCCGAACGCATTCTAAAACAAGAATATCCTATAGGCATCGGTTACAGCAAATAGTAACGTAAATATATCAAATTTAATATGAATTACATATATAATTAAATTACATATAACTAAAATATATGTATTATATCATCTAAAAAGTATCCGCGGTTTTTTGTCACTAGATGTGTGTTGATGGTCATATATCTAGTGACAAAGTACCGCGGATACTTTTTAGATGACCTAATATATGATAAAAAATATAAGATAAATATTTTATCAGTATCTAAGTCCCGATCCATAAAACTTAATAGATGATTAAATACTTGGCCTCCTTTGAGTATGGTTTATACTATTTATAACATACAGGCATAACCTGAAATTTAAATTTTCGTATAAATGCACGTCAAACATGCTGGGATAGCACAGGAAGTGCTTTAATGTGCCATTCATACCGGCTTAAGGAACTGGGTGGTTTTTTTTATCCTGCCAGGGATAGAGTAGGAATCTGAACGTTTCATCTAAGGACTCAATAAAGGCACTCAAAAGGAATTTGAACGCTTTCCGAGTGTCTGGGTGGAGAATCTGAACGCAACCCTTGAGACCCTAAAAGACTCGCCAACTCGTCACATGACTGTGGGTGAATCTGATTGGCTAGGATATGGATCGCACATTTGTGCTCCATGAAGATGTACTATAACTTCAACCTATTCTGATAGAATACATGTGCGCGTGTTACATGCTGGAACAGTTTTGTTGCCTATTGTTTTGACTATTTTTGGTAAGTTAATTTATCACATCATTTTATTACATCATTTATGTAAAATTGTGAGAAAACGCAATGTATATGTTGTCGCGAATAAGTTTTGAATAAACTTTATGTATTGTTAAAATAAGTAGTAAGTTAGAGATACTTGTTTCATTAATAATGTAATTCTCTTGTGATAGATTTGGATTATACAATATATATATTGACGCGATGCCACATATTTATTATGCATCCAGATGTTTTAATAAATCCGGTGAAGGATACACATTGGTCAAATTTCCCAAGAAGATTAATATTGAAATGCATGGGCAGATGCTGCTTTAAGCGAGATCGCTTTAAGATCTTTGAATAATTTAAGATTATGAAATGAGTGTTCATCGTAATAATGCTATGCAAAATCTAAATAAAAATAGTTTAAAAAGTGCTTCTCCATTTAACGCTTTCCTCATTTCAAATATACTTTGGGTCATTAGATATATGTCTACGTTGAATTTTTATTTTCTGTGGAGCAAATACATATTTTAAATAAATATTTTGTTTTTATTTTCTGTAGTATAATACACATTTTTACACATTGAATTTGTCATTATTTAATGAGTATACATAAAAAGATTAATTTAAACAATTTTTAATTGAAATTATATGGTTACAAGAATAATGGCAAAAACATGATGATATCGAACCATACGATGTTATTTTGTTACTTCCTTCTAGCAATTTATCACCAATATATTGGGTCATCTAAAAAGTATCCGCGGTACTTTGTCACTAGATACATGACCATCAACACACATCAACTGACAAAAAACTGCGGATACTTTTTAGATGACCCAATATCTCATGGCTCAAAGTGTACCTAAAATGTGGAAAGCATTAAATAGAGAAGCACTTTTTCAACTATTTTTTATTTGAATTCTGCATAGCATTATTATGATGAACACTCACTTCTCACAATCTTAAATTATCCAAGGATCTTGATGCATTCTCGCCCAAAGCATCTGCCCATGTATTTTGATATTGGTCTTCCTTGGGAAATCTGACCAATGTGTATCCTTCACTGGATTATTAAAACATCTGGATGCACAACAAATATGTAGTATCGCCAAAATATATAAAATCTAAATCTATGACAAGAGAATTACATTATTAATGGAACAGATTCCTCTAACTTGCATATTACTTATTTTTAATAATGAAGCGTTTATTGATTCAAAGCTTATTCGTGACAGTATATACATTGCTTTTTCTTCACAATTTTACATAGATGTGATAAATTAACTTACCAAAAATAGTTAAAACAATAGGCAACAAAAGCTACTCCAACATGTAACACGCGTACACATATTCTATCAGAATAGGTTGAGTTATAGTACATCTTCATGGAGCACAAATGTACGATTTATACCCCAGCCAATCAGAATCACCACAGTCACGTGACGAGTTGGCGAGTCTCTCTTTTTAGAGTCTTTACCCCACACCTATCAACGACGGTACGGTCAATGGAAGGGGGCTTTAGGGACGCCCATGGAAATAATTTAGAGAAATCGTAGAGTAGTAGTGCGCACCATACAGAAGAGCCACGAACTTCTTTCACTGGCCTAGTTTCCACCGAGGGTTTAGTCCGAATCAGGGGGTCGATTCTGTATCTTCAAATAAAGTGAAAATTTCATTTGTTCACAAAAGTGAACAAATTTTTCTAGGTGGTGACCAATAAAATTATCAGTATTCTAGTAAATTCGCTTACCTTTGTAATTTTTATTTCAAGATATAAAATCGATTCTCAAGGCCTCTATTCTTGAAAAGCGTCGCATACGAAAAACTAAGGAAATACAATAGTATGCGTTACATATACTATAGCATTTCTCTAGTTTTTCGTGTGCGATACTTTTCAAGAATAGGGCCCCAGAATGTAAAAACCAACCAACCACAATCGAGCATTTTCCTATCGTTCGATTGATCGAAACAGGGAAATACTCTATTGTAGTTGGTTGGTTTTTATATTGGGTCATCTAAAAAGTATCCGCGGTACTTTGTCACTAGATATACGACCATCAACACACATCTAGTGACAAAAAACCGCGGATACTTTTTAGATGACCCAATATAATCTGGATTAAACCCTCGATGGAAACTAGGTTACTGTCCGACAAAATCACCACTCCAGTTTTTTTAAACGCCGCGTGCGAACGTAAGTCTGAACGCGACTTTCTCGCATTTCATTTCTAAATCAAAGAATTCCAATCCTAATTTTAAATCCAAATCAGAGACTCGAATCGGACTGAAACCGAAACCAATAATCGGGCTGTAACCGTTATTTTTGTCGGACCGAAATCGATAACCGGACTGAAATGCGAAGCTAATAGATCGAAACCGTAACCGGATCGAAAATGTTTTTCTGGTTTTTCAATCCAGTTTTCAGTTCGGATTTTTTAATCTCTTCGGTATGTACGATCGACTATAGTCTGCAGCCACCAAACATATTTCCATGATGTAATCATACATATTCCTACGGCCGAGCGTCGACTATGGTGAACAACAAAAACAATGCGTTCCCCTTTTACAGTCGAAAGAGAGAGAGGAATGCTCGCTTGTGGTGATCAGTTTTTACATCACTTATAAAAATGGATAAAGACTGTCCTTAACTTCCATGACAATCAGTAAATAATTGTAAAAGACACGAGAAGACCGAGAAGTTTATCAAAATTTGTTCAATGCATAATCTATTTTTATTTCACGTTTCTCTTTTGCCACTATTTACTGACTCAGAAAGGGCCAAGGGGGAAGTAACGATAGTCTTCGCCCATTTTTACAAATGTTTTAAAGCAATCTTATTATTTGATTTTACTTAAATTCTTTTTATTTATAAATGTTATGTAAGAAACTTTAACGTGTCATTTCTCACTTATGATCCAATGTTGCCACTACCACAGCAATTACTCAGGAGAGTCTCTTAAAGAGGAAAAGGATTTAAGGGCAATATTAGAGTATTTTAAGTAGCAATATTATGGACACAGAGTGTCCACGGAGTGTTACTTTCTTATTTCCTTGCTTGATTATGATAATTTACGTAAGAATAATATGTTATTTTATAGAAAATTCAAAAAGCTGTAAACGACCATTGACGACGTTAGAAATCGCTGACGTAGTCAAAATAGATGACGTCGCAGAAGATAATAAAAGTGAAACAGCAGCAAAAAAAAATGATCTGTTAACTTTACACTAGGTTAGAGTTAGAATACTTGCTCGTTTCTACCAATGCAATTAATTGTCTTAAAATAAACATGAATTTCCTTAAATATGCAATTTATGTTTGTTGTATTATCTTCCTCTACAGTAGATAATCATATACCGTAACCGAAAAAAACTTCAATCCAAATGATTATGGTCACCGTTATTGGTAAAAGAACCGAAACCGCTTGGATTTCGGACTTTTTCGATCCGTAATCAAAAAAGACCGAAAAAAACCGAAACCATTAATTATCGGTAAAAGAATCGGAACCGAAACCGAAACCAAAAATTGGGTATAGCTTCTGACCATGACCGTAACCGAATCGAAATTTCATTTCTGTCATTGATTCAAACATTAATCCAATTTCTAAATCATAAATCCTAATTTGTAAATTGTAATTTTTAATTAACTTAGAATTAAATCTGTCTCGTGTAAAATTAGTTATCAAGGCATTAACTAGTGTACGAATTATTATTAAATATGCATTTATTGTAATTAATCTCATTCGAGTGTGCATTTCATGGATATCTCCATTCTCTTGGTTAATTTATCTTAACGCTAATAATACGAGTAATATAACTGCTATCGAATATTAACAAAAGGTGATCGCGCGTGCTTATTGGTGCGACTCGAATCAGCTAAATTCGTCCAGAGAGCAGTAGAGGCCTTGGTACCTTAACCATTTCTTTCCACTGACATTCGGGAACACCAGAGGACATTTGACTAGGCACTTCAAGGTAAGCAAGCTTCTTTCCACATTCTGATAATTGGAATTTGCCGCCAATGAATTGCATTTAGCATGTATCCCATGTATCCGCGTTCGCACCTATCGATGCTTGAATTTTGGCGGTTAGTCTGTACTTCACATGGTTACGTAGTGCATATTGCGTATCTTTACTATTTTTTCAGCATAGAGAAAGTGGTACCATCAAATGTCCTGAATGTTATACTTTCGCGTCGGAAAACGAAAAGAAAAATTATCAAGGGGTCTTACGGCATTACATTCATTTAGGGCTCCCTGAATGTTTCGAATTTTGTAGTGCATGTTCTATATTAACTATCACGCAGCATGCCGTCGCAAGTTGTCCCGATTGTCCCGAAGTATTAGAAAGATTCGTCGTTTACCTAGGGAGAGCAGGAGAGTAACCGTGAAATGATTCGGAATTCATTATAATCGGAATATCTAGCGCTCGCCTTTAACCAATCGGTAACTTAGACAAATTCGGCTACAACTCTCTTTGATACGCGGAATCGCTAATTTCGTATCACACATATCTCAGGTTAGTTCGAAACCGGGGAACCGGCCGAGCCTCCCTGAGACATAACAATAATCGATTGCGATTCGTCCATTTCTTATGGCTTAAGGTTTAAAAATCTGTTGTAGATCCGGACTAATAAAAATACGAGATCTGATAAAAAATAAGCGAACTTTTTAAATTACTCGGCAATGAAGCGTCCTAGCGACGTGCGGTTTGCAGTGCTACAATCGTTACAATCTTCCGAGTAACTGGCTTTTTTTAAATTGTTTACGTTTCGTTTAGTTTTAGAGTTATTGCTCTTTGAGTGCAACGTGTTCGTGATGATTTTCGCCTCGAACTGAATTTTTATTTTGGAAACTGATTTTAATTTTGGGAACAAGAAAAAGTCGCAGGAAACAACCCTGACGAAATTATGGAACTTTATAAAACGTTGACAACCATTTGCTGACGATTTCTTAAGAGTTTATACGTTTTCAAATTGTTCAAAAAGTCTAACAGTGAATTCTTTGCACGAAGGCGCATCAGCGTTTACTAAACATTTTTTTTGGAAAGCGTTACTTTAAACTATAAGAACGTTTACAAAACAACATTGGATTTTAAACACTTTCAAAACGCTATAAAATAAGTAGTATCAGTATATATCGTTTCATGAAAATTCTGTAATGCTAAAGTAACGCTTTCCAAAAAATGTTTAACGCTGATGCGCCTTCGTGCAGAGAGTTCACTGTCAGACTTTTCGAACATTTAGCAAACGCTTTTCTCAATACCGTGAGACAAGCATTTTCCTTCCGTTCAACAAACGCTGTTTCAATGTGGCGAATTATTAAATCTCAGTAAACGTTTTGTAAGGCTTTTACGCAAACGGCTTAAAGACGCCCAAAAAATGTTTTCCTCAACTCCAAAAAAACTCCGTTTTTCTTCCATTTAGCAAACATTCTTCTACATATCCAATTTTCAAGCATGCACAACACCGTCCACTAGAGGGACATAATGAAATACAATTTCTCGTATTTAAAAGACCACTTTAAATAGAATAAAAGGCGCGGTATGATAAGATTTCTCAATGAAAAATTTTGTACTTTTTTTTTATAAAACGTCTGCATTTAGCAAACTCGACACTTGAATGTTCATGTGAACGTTCAAACAAACATTTATGAAACTTTTTATTTTCAGAGAATACCTTCCAAACGCTGCAGCGTTTTACGAATACTCTACTGGCCGTTTCTAAATTCTCAACAAATTCTTGCAAACGCTTATGTAAATGTTAAACAAACATTTATGAAACTTCTCATTTTTGTCAGGAAAAGTCTGAGGAGGGAGAGGACAATTATCTGATTTTTAGCACAAAACTTGCAAATTGATAAGGCAGGCGCATTGTCATAGTGAAGGAGCCATGAGTTGTTTCATCATAATTGTGGTCTCTTTTTGCGAATTTTTTCGCGAAAATTTTTTAAAACGCCATCGTAGCACTGACAATTGATTGTTTGATCTTGAGGCAAAAATTGCAAAAATTCATTTTGAAGCGAAAATCGCCACGAACACTAAAACACGTTGTACTTAAATAGCACTAACTCTGAAACTAAACGAGATGTAAACAATTTTTAAAAAACTAGTTACTCGGAAGATTATAATGATCGTAGTGAAGCAAATCGCATGTCGCTAGGACGTTCCGTTGCTGAATAATTCAAAGAGTTCGCTTATTTTTTTATCAGAGGGTTTGTTTTCTGTTCCTGAACGAGGATTGCACTAGAACTGAACTGAATTGAACTAATACAATCCAGAATTGACGAGTGTAAGCATGCAGACAAGGAATAAAAAATGTTTTAGTGCAAAATAAAAATGGCGTCCTATATTGTTTACAT